TTAATGTATCCACCTGAATATCTTTATTCCTAAAAAAATGTATTTCAGACGAAAGTTGTAAGATTTCGAAGGAACGTAATATAGTAATTATGAATTATTCTCTCGTAGTTTTCAAAATCATCTTAAGATCATCATTCAGATTCATTTTTTAAATAAAATCTTAGTTTTTTGTTATAATAAAAAAAAACGGAGTTAACTTTAAAATAACCTTGAAAAACGCAATCCAACGCAACTCAAGTTTATAATATTTTATTCCACTAAAAACCTTACGACTTTTGTCTGAAACATTTTTTTGCCAAAAATGTAGGAAAAATATATTTAGGTGGAAAAATTAAAATAAGTCATCCTATATATGTGTACATTATGCATATATACATACATAATATACACATATGTACAAATATTAAGTAATAATCATCATTAATATACTGCAACACAAATTAAATATTAGTCACGTTTCTTTTTAAAATTGAATAAAAATAATTTTTGAAAATGCTCCATATAAAATAAAATACAACTGCTCTATCGTGGTCATTTTTTTTAGATCCGTATAATAGGAAAAAACTTAAAATTTTATTACTTATCAAAATAATTACTAATGATATGACGGATCTCACTATTAAGACATGATAAAATATTTTACATTAAACATAAAATTAATTTTTTTACTATCGCAATTTATACTACTGTTTCACCCAACAGCTCCTATAATCACTCAGATTGTAAAAATTATATATATCTGTGTGGAAGGAATAAGCGATAAATGCCGTGCAAAAAAAAGAACAAAAAAATACTTAATAACAAAAATTTGCTAAAAAATCGCTCAATTCTGCAGCTCTTTTTACTTTCTCTTTTTTATCTTTCTCTATCTCTTTTTTTTAGCTTGAAAAGTCGCGATGAGCACCGATGCAATTAAATATATTCACCGTTTTGACTTTCTCTCATTCTCAATCACTCTTTCATTCACTTCCTCTCCCCTTCTATCGTATAAGAATTAAAAATATTCCTACAATATCGCAAAACGGTATTAAAATTTTATCGCACCGGATATTTAATCATCTCGAATCAAATTCACTGAGAACGAATTCATTGAAATAGAATTCATGGACGCGTATTGAGGATATGTTTCTCGTAGTAATACGATGCAGGCTCTCCGATTTACATTACAATTGAATCTTATAAGGTCGTGAATAAACACAATGCATCGTGCGTGTTATGAGACACAAAAGGGAAAAAGTCTTAAAATAAAGAAAAATAAAAGAAGAGAAAGGAAAGAATAAGACGAGCTATGCTCGCAAATCTCTTTCGCAACAGATAGGCGCGAATATTTGTCCGTAATTAATCAAACATCCGCGTTTTCACATTAAATGCTACGAAAAACGCGCGGTGGTCCAACATCTCCCCTTCTTTTCCACTTTTTTGCTCCAACGTCTCACACTGTCGCACGCACACACACACAAGCACACGACTCTCTCTCTCTCTCCCCCTCTCCCCTTTCTCTCTTCGATTTCACCTCTCTTATCGTTGGTTACAATATGCACGCAATTTGTAATACACGCATCTCGCATTCAACTTAACTTAAATCGATCTCGTCAACGATTGATATTAAAAAATACGATTGGACGATCGTCAATCGAGCGTGAACACACCTCGAGTCTATGTCCCGTGATGCCACCGAACGAAGTATAACTATATAATCGACGCGTATACATCGCTGACAGAACGTCGCATATTTATTACGTAGATTTCACAAGGGCGGCGCATTTATTTATACACTTTTGTGGAGCATTTAACGCATGTACATTGTATTTTGTGTGTGTCACTATGCACAAATGATAATGCTATTTGTATGTGTATACGCGTCCTTTATATGCACTCCCTTTATACACGCGCAATACCGTGCATTGGCATTTACTCTCATTTGGTTTCTTTTGGCATACAAAATAATTTTATTTACAGTCTGTCAATAATATTAGTTACTTTTATATAGTTTTATTTACACACGCACGCACATACACATATTCGCGATATATAAATGTGTGTGTGTGTGTGTGTGTATGCGCGCGCGCGCGCGCGTGTGTGTGTATAGTATATGTACACACTATCAAGTACGACGGTACGATCGTATTTCTATTTTATTATGCGGATAAAGAACTATTTACAAGATGAAAACAGCAATTATAAATATTATCGGACAGGTATTTAACAGCGCGTAGAAATGTGTCATCGTATGCACGTGCTTCCTCGTTACCTCTCTCTCTCTCTTTCTATCTCTCTCGATCGATCGTTTCGTTGTAGAGACACATTCGGTCGTGAATTAATTTTTGCGAAATAGAACAGGTAACAGAAGTCGTAGCATCACCGATGATTCTAAACGATATAGTGTGAATTATTAGATGTTCGGGGAAGGAAAAAAGAAACGCGGATTTAAAAGGGCGAGTTTAAAAGTGCTAGATCGTATCATGAAGAAATGAATCGGTGTGTACGACGCGACGACATCGCGCGTAGACGGTCACGCGTATGAGAAGAAACGAGAAATCGATTGTGGCACAGCCGGAAATCAAATATCGTTAAATGTGTAACGTACTCACGGTCGCCGAGACTGACCGGAGGATTGCGATAATAAATTACATCGGATAAAGTCTACTAAATTACACTACCTAAGAAATATCTATATAGAACACACTGGTGCCATATATATGGTATAATACACTTGCCCAAGTTTGTTCGAGCATCACAAAATTGCAACAAAACTACACTCTGACGGCAAATCGAAAGAATTGAGAGTCGAGCATTGAATTTGCACTACCTCACGGTCTGCTACGAAAAATACAATTAACAAAAAAAATAAAATGTGGGCATAACTCCAAATTCGCGTACGTACACTTTCGCGACTTTGTTGTTGGGTCACCGAGAAAACGTGACTGCCAAATCTTCTTTCTGCAACGAACCAATCCGGAACATGCGGTCGATTTATGCCAAAAATTCGGCGATTCAATATTTATGCTCCTCCGGAAACGTGACGCGGAAGAACGGCGATATATATATGTGTGTGTGTGTGTGTGTGTGTGTGTGTGTGTGTGTGTGTGTGTGTGTGTGTGTGTGTGTGTGTGTGTACAGGGAGGGTGTTTTTATATTGAGACTTCTAAATAAAAAGAAAATAAAACTAGATGAAAAGAAGTGTTTCAGACAAAATTGTAGAGTTTCAAAGGGAGTATTGTAATGCTATCGGATTGATCTTCAGATGGAATGTCAAGGTGAAATGAAGGTCAACTTCATATTTTTTATCAGGATCCTTATTTTTTAGATACAACATAAGTCATTCTGTCTGTGTTGTGATAGAATTATAGTAGTGCAATAGTCATTTAATTCTTATATATCACTTGTGTATCCTGAGGAAAACGTTCCATCACGTTTTTGGTCTCTCTCTCTCTCTCTCTCTCTCTCTCTCTCTCTCTGTTTTTCATCATTTGATTTCCAATGATCTTGAGTGTATGGTTATTGGATTTGTCATGAAAAAGGCCACAAAGTTGTCTACAAAATTAGAGTTCCATTAAAAAATATGAAGCTGACTTTCATTTCACTTTGACACTCCATCCGAAGGTCAAGCCAATAACATTATAATATTCCCTTTGGAAGTCTATAATTTCATCTGAAACACTTCTTTTTATTTGCTTTAATTTTTTTATTATTTAGACGTCTCAATATAAATGCTTTACCTTATACGTGTAATAACACTAAGATGACGAAATGGTACGGAAAACGAATTTAAGAGCGAGGTCGCCAATCTCCTCTTCTTTTTTCTATTCTTCTCTTCTTATCCGTTCGTTTTTATCAAAATCCTAACTTTGTGTAGCCTTGTCAGGCTTGCTTAAAATACGAAAGAAGAACCTATACCGTAAACGACATACCCTCATTACGCTTCCCGTAAAACAAAGTATTTATATTTTTCTCCGATTTTCTCTCTCTCTCTCTCTCTCTCTCTCTCTCTCTCTCTCTCTCTCGCTCGCTCCCTCCTCTTTCTCTCTCTTTCTCGACATTTCGCCGACGTCGTGCTCGAATCGTTCTAAGGATATGTCTCTGATACTCTTCTCACAGTCTAGACAGTCTGGTAAGTACCGTCGATTTCGACGCTTGCATTAAATGTGAAACATTTGAAACGTTAATTAAAAAATTAAAAAATTAAGAGAACACAGAAATTAAGATGTGAGAGATAAGAGTGAGAACGATATCGGGTATTTTTGAACGAGCAATCGAATGTGGCGCGAGTGACGGAGTATTTCGAACGTCAGTATTAACAATAATCGCAATCAAGTGAGTCAATATGTTACACGTATGTTGAGAACCGCGTCATTATGACGCGGTTCATTCGCAATTAGGACATGAGCAACGCGAAATTACGCGGAGTCCGATACGGTTTCGCAAAGTGACAAGGATCACTCCTTTGTTTACAATCAATCAACACATAACACTGTTCCACACAACAAAAATGTTCAAAATACATCATAGGGATGTCCTAAAGTTAATAGTAATTGCTGTGTAGAGTAGTGTTACAGCGGGCAACGGGAGAGGAGCGAACGAGCGATCGCACAAAAACGCACCTAATGGTGAATTAACATATTTATGATTTGACTTAAGAGAATGAGACTGCGTTTCTTTCCTCGTTTATGTTTGCCATCCGCATACTTCCATCGTGAAGCCGATGCCCGGCGATGCAACTTCCGTCGATGCGGAGAAACAACAGTCGTCATTATCTTTTTCTTTATTTACACGTCTTTTATAGTTGTTTCTCGAATCGTCACCGATGAAAGTTAAGATAAGTATAGGAAGAAAAAGCAAAAGAAGAAAGCGGAACGAGATGAGACGAGAGAAATAGAAAGGGAGAAGGAGAAAGAAGAAGATGAGCAAGAAAAGAAAAAGAAAAGAAGAATCCAAAGTGAAGGGGAATGATCCTTGTCATGACGAAAACGAACGAGGTTATCAGACAACGGAGCGGTACGCGTTGGGCGGTTACTTCGAAATATTTCACTGAGCACATCCCAGTCCTTCCAATAAACCTCGTGCTAATCAGCAAATTGCATCCGTGGTCTTCAGCACGGCGAATAAATAGCTTCGGAAACTGCCTAGAACGTCTTTATCTCTTTGTCCATACTATTGTTATGTGTTACTGATGAGACTGCGACAGCTTGCTAGAGTTTTTGTGATGGCTGGACGTGTGTCGTTCCTGAAAACAAGCAGAATTGTGTGACGTTCATGAAACAATGCATAGATGATGAAGAGTCTCGTTCTGACATAATAAGTACCACATTACGCACTTCTAATATATCTATTACAATTGAGTCTATTTAATTTGAAAATATCTTGGGACACTCTTTTTCTGCACACATGAAAAGTCTATCATTTAAAATCATTTAATTATGATATTAAAAAATAATTTAAAACTATTTAATTATGTTTAATCATATAATTATCATTTAATTATGACGAATTTCTCTCAATAAAAATTTGCCGCTATAATGCGACAATATGCCGATTTCAATAAAATCCTTAAAATAAACGGCTAAGCGTTCGGATTCCTATGAAAATTGTTTACGCGAATTGAACATGAGCAAGGAATTATATTTCTTTTTGTTTGCCGTTCCTCGTTTTTACATCTCGTTTCTTATTTTTACATTGTTCGCGAAAGAATTTAGAAGATAATATTTACAAGTACCCCCGAATAATTGTCTCGGATTGATAAATTAATTACATAAATTTTGTCTATGACATTGGTTCCAAATTAACTTTGGTGTCCAGAATTCTTCGCTGAAGAGGTATCGTATTTAGCTATAGTATGTAGCTATATTTGACGAATTAACAGGGTTGTGAAGTAACGCGTTACTGTTACAAGTTATTTTTCTCTAGTAACGACTCGGTAACGGCGTTACTATTTTTCGGTAGTAATTGTAACGGTAACGAAGTTACATTTTTTGGGTAACGATAACAAATATAACATTTACTTTTATCGTTACTTTCAGATTGCACTCGGAAACGTTACATTTTCAGTGACCAAAGTCACTTCAAAGCAGCACATCAAAGAATGATGTTTCTGAATGCAGTCTGAGAGTGCTTCACAGCAGCTGGTGTCTAATAATGTGCACAATGTGTTTCCGAATGCAGCATAAGCCGGGTCTTCAATAGATATAGTAAGCTTTAAGCTGTAAAAAATCAAGCAATTCACCATGACCTAGCAGCTATGGGACTCGATTCCTAACTTTTTCGTAACTATTCGTACAAGTAACTTACGAGTGAAATTCAATGAACATACAGTTTTTTCGTAAAAACGCGCAAAATTGTTTTCGACAAACGTAAATCGTAGACGGGAGTCAACGCACAAGAATGACGTGAACATATGTCACATCTATCGCATCGCCTTTGAAATCGGATGATAATGATGATCTTTTTGCTTTTAACAAAAAAGTCTCCTCAATTCCAAACGAAGGAATTGCAACAATTTTTTAAATTAGATCTTTGTAATATCAAAATGTTCAACGACTGCCCAAATATTTAAAAAATATTTTATAAAATATTATATACTACTTCTCCAAGCATCGGTAGAACAACCATTTAGTATTGGAAATTCTGTATTAACACCACGTAGAGGATGTTTTCATGACAGTATGATAGAGCATTAACCTCCTATTAAAAGTTAATAAAGAAGTTAATACCTTGACATACAATGACGTCTGGGAGACGTCATTCATTTCATGTACCATTGTAGACTTTGACATCTCCGAGACGTCAAGAACTGTCTCCGTGCAGTATATTATTAGATGCCGTGCAGTATATTATTAGATTATTCAATTATTTCACTTGTGATTATTCAATTGTTTCATAAGCTTGCACATAACTGTTCATTGAGCAAAATTAAATAGTATTTTTCGGACGCATCAAATTCCGTTTTATTTGTATGTCAAGGGGTTAATAAAGAATTTTGATAAAATTCAACGAGTTTGTGTATTTAACAAGAAACCATTAGAAGTATTACTTTTTAACTTATCTTTTTAACTTGTTTTTTTTTTTAACTTATCTTCAACAAACTATCTTTAATATATAGACATGGTTAAATTTGTATTAAATAAGTAACCAAAAAAAAACGATTCGTTATTTTTCGAGTAACGGTAACAAGAACGAGTTACTTTTCAAAGTGAGTAACGGTAACGAGTTACTTTTAAAAAGTAGTAGTTAGTAAGGGGAACGAGTTACTTTTTTGAATCGATAACGAGTAACGATAACGAGTTACTTTTAAAAAGTAAATTTCCCAACCCCGCGAATCAGTGACATTAATAATATTTCATACATTAATACGCTCCGTGTCAGATTAATTTTACATAACTTCTCGTGGACCAGTGATCCTGTTACAAGCTAAATTTTATTTGACAAATGTGTTTCATAATAATTATAAAAGTGTTTATAATTATTATATGTCACAATATATTATATTTTGTTTTGGAGCCAAAATATCAAATTGGCCTAAGCGGAACTGAACCAAATCCGACCTGAAAGGAAAATTTCAGTATTTAAACATATCACAGGCGCGTACGCACGAACACGCGCGCACGCACGCATATCCACACACATTCACACGCATACGCACATGCGCGCGCGCACATGCACACATACAGTCGGCAGATTAAAGATTGCAATATTTTCTTTTTAATGAATTTTACAACGCATCTTAAGATGATGAGAAAATGATTATAATAATAAGAAAATGATTATCTCCTGAAAATGATTAAAAAATCAGTCTTCCTATCAGACACGCGACGCGTTGCAAAACTCATTGAAAGAAAATGTTGCAACCTTTAATCTGCTAACTGTGTGTATGTGTATATAATGTGTATGTGTGTATGTGTACGTATGTCATCATCGGTGGTACATGTGGCACGGAACGTGTTAATAAGTCCCAATACAAAGCGAGTGTGCTGTATATATGACAAGCTGTATCGTATTGGAAAATCCCGACAAATTACTAATTGGTATCGCAGTATACAATATAACGCAAGTAAAGGAAGACTTATAATGGTCGTCGAGCAGAATTAACTCGCCATGGAATGTCCTAATTTAATCTTTCAATCGCGATTCTTTTCACCTGACAGATATTAATAAGCCAATCACGAACTCTTTCTTTCTCTTTCTCTCCTGTGTTCTAGAAAGAAGTATCATAGAACAGTGACTTGTAAATAAAAATAACAGACTTGTCTGCTCGCTCGACGATTATAAGCGTTATTTTATTTACATTAAGTTAGCTATTTTTCCGCTAATCTGCTATCTTCTTTCTTACTTTGTTTTCAGTTGCTATGTGCCGCATAGCTTCATCCGCATAATAAGTCGATGCTATTACACGAGATTAAAGCAGGATCGAGTCACACGCCAATGAAATGAGAACAGTTCATCTACGAAACTTAAGCATGCATATGCATATCGGACTACAGATATCACATACTCGCGAGCGCATGCCCGTGTTCACGATCAAGCCCGCGCGCATACATACATACGTACATACATACATACATAGCAGTGTGCGCACGTACAGGCACGCACATACGCACATCGCTGAACAATATACAGGGGTCCCAAACTGTTCTCGGTTTTCGTGGCGTGCGGGTAGAACGGGTGAAACTGAGCAGAAAAGTCATGTACCATTTTGCAAAATTCGCAATAGTTTGTGAAGAATTAATTATTTTGTCTGAGATAACAAGTGCACGGGAAGCGGTAGGCTAGATTTAGTATAAAGAAAAATGCCTTATTTGTGAAGATCTCCTAGCAACAATGATATTAACTGATAGCGAGAGACGTATTTCTTTTCGGCGCACAGTATCATAGTTTTTAAAGATCAGTTGATATTCATCAAAATAATTAATTCCTCATTAATTATTGCAAATTTTGCAAAATAGTACATAATTTTTCTACTCAGACTGAGTTCCACAATTCACTGCCAATATTGAAAATCTATAGTTTATGTTACGTATATTAAGTACGTTAATAAATTACGAAATGCAGCCTCAGTTTCACCTATTCTGTACACCACGGGAACCCAGAACAGTTTGGAATACCCTGTAAAATAACACTATTATACAACAATAACAGCGATGATAAACTGACCATACGATAATATTCATGACAAACAATAGCGACAACAGTCATGATGTACCCTTCACCAAGCGAACAAGATGACACACCGAGCAATATAATTAATTTTTTTATTTTAACAAATATATCATGTGCGTGATTATATGAGTTCGCGATATAATACCACGTATACAAAATAACTGAGCTATGAGGTTAGTAATACATAAAAAAGGAAATGTGATGATACAATGTGCGATATATTTTTACACATGTATATATATATATATATATATATATATATATATAT